GAGGCAGCTTAGAGGAGAGCAGAGCAGCGCTTGCTCTCGCAGAAACGGATGGTGTGTGAGTGAGCGAATGAGTGAGAGAGGAAGTGAGTGAGTGATTGATTAAGTGAGGAGTAAGAGAGTGCAAACAATGATAGTGGGTGAGTTCTATGTGTGGGCCATCAAAATGTGCCAGGGGTGACTCTCAAGTAGAGCTCCCTTTTCTTTCAAACTGCATCTCTCTCGCTCTCTCTCTCTCCCTTCCCTGCATCACCTCTTCCTCTTGAATGCCTTGTATTCCTTTGTGTTGCATTCCTCTGCCTTAGTAATGATCAACATTTGTGTTCCCTTCTCCCACGTTACTGACAGAATTTTTGAGTTGACTCAAAAGCTGACTTTTGAGTCGACTCAAAAGTCAGCCCTTCGTAATGACCAACATTTCTGTTCCCTTCTCCCACGTTACTGACAGAATCCCGTTCCCCGTGCTTTTTTTGCCAAATTCACTTGTCTCATCAAGTTCCGATTCTTCATTTTTCGGGTCTCCCCTCTCTTCCCTTCCCCCTCTATATTTCTTCCCCCTCTATCTCCTTTCCCCCTCTATATTCCTTCCGTCTCTTCTTTCTTTAGATCGTCTCTTCTGCACCGTTGGAGTCCACCCTACCCGCTGCTCTGTAAGGAACATTTTTGCATGGGACTTGCATCTCCCCTTTCCCCGCTCCCCCCCTTCTCCTCTTCCCCTACTTTCTCCCTTGCGTTCTATCTCAGAAACCGCCTGTTCTGCACTGTTGGCGTCCATGCTACCCGTTGCCTCTGTAGGGAACAGGGCCCGGCGCATGGTTGGTTTACCATTTACTTCTTGAATGCATCAAAGCCTAACATCTGTTTTCCAGTTGCACCATTTCCAACCCCGATCCTTCGTTTCGTCCCTTATTTTCCCTCTTGCCCAACTGTCCGTCCCCCTTCTGCTCCTTCTTTCCTTCCTCTCTTCGTTCCCATTCCGTTCCCAGGAGTTTGATGCAAGCGGCGATCCGCAGCAGCACCTGCAATCGCTATTGAAGCTGGCAGAAGAAGGGAAGGTCAAAGGCAAGGTGTGTCTGTTTGAAGGGGCAGTATGGGAGTCTGAGGCATTTCTGCCCTTTGGCCCCATTCTTGAGTCTTCAGCATTCATCTTGCTCTTTCCTTTGTTTTGCCCCTGCTGCTGCAGGTGGTGGCGGTGGGCGAGTGCGGATTGGACTATGATCGCCTTGTGTTCTGCCCCAAGGAGGTGCAGCAGAAGTGAGTCGACTGGGGAGAAGGAGGGAGGGGAGGAGAGGGATGGGGAGTGAATGGCAGTGAGTTGTTCCACAGCGGGTGTGTGCCTCTGTCTATTTCTCCTGTGGCAGTGGGCGAGTGTGGGTTGGACTATGATCGCCTTGTGTTCTGCCCCAAGAGGTGGAGGAGAAGTGAGTTGGGGAGAGGGGGGAGGGCGAGGCAAGGGCTCTAGCACAAGTGAGTCAGTGAGTGGGGAGAAGGAGAGTGAGTGTAAAAGGGTGTTTTTGAGAATTCTCAAAAACACCCTTCAAGGGCTCTAGCACAAGTGAGTCGGTAAGTGGGGAGAAGGAGAGTGAATGTAAGGTTTGGGCCGCAAGGCAATGGCATTCACTCTCCTCATTATGGCAAGGCTCAAGGTTGAGCTTGAGCTTGAGCCATCATTACCAATCCCCTGAGCACTGCTCAGCACTGCTCTCCTGACCCGTCCCTCCCATCCCTCCCATCCCTCCCATCCCACCCATCCCTCCCATCCCTCCCATCCCTCCCATCCTTCCCATCCCTCCCATCCCTCCCATCCCTCCCATCCCTCCCATCCCTCCCATTCCCTTCCATTCCCAAAGGTACTTTGAGCGTCAATTCGACCTAGCCCAGACAACTCAGCTGCCCATGTTCCTGCACATGCGCGCTGCTGCTGACGATTTCTTGGAAATAGTGAAGAGGAACGAGAGCAGGTGAAGGCGGGGAGGGTGGAGGAGGAATGGGGAGGTTGGGAACGTTCGGGGGGGTGAGGTAGGTAGGGGAGGAGTGGGCAATCCAACCGGAGGTTAGAGTTGATATTCCAACTGGTTCCTGGTTTGTGTGAGTTGATTCAGAAGTCACCTCCCCTCCCTGGTCGGTTCTCGTGGGTTGACTCAAGAGTCACCTTGCCTCTGTTTGTTCCTGTTTTTTCATGGATGTGCGATCCGATGCTACAGGTTCGTGGGGGGAGTGGTGCATTCGTTTACAGGCACGTGCGAGGAGAGGGACGCCATTCTCGCAGTGCCCAAGCTGTCCATCGGTGAGAGAGTGAGAGAGCAACAGATGGAACTAGTCTCGGCACTTCCACATATGGGCTTGTGGGGGTTTTACTTCAGAGAATTCTAGAAAAAAATACTTTTGAGAATTCTCAAAAGTAAAATACAGATGGATTCTCGGCACTTCCACATATGGGCTTGTGGGGGAAGCGTTTTATTCGTTCACAGGCACGGGCACGTGAGACAAACGGAGCGGAACGCCATTCTCGCCTCGCCCTTCCAAAACAGAGGACAATCTTAATTGCGGGTAGAGAGACGACTTTTGAGGGGCCTCGAAAGACAAATTTAATAGCCACGGCGGGAGATCGCTGCTGATCTCCTCATGCTATTAAACCGACTCCCACCACTGTATCCCTGTCACTCTTTACCTCACCTCTCCCTTCTCATCTCCCCATTGCAGGCATCAACGGTTGTTCACTGAAGACAGAGGACAATCTTAAAGCCATGGCCGGGATTCCTGCCACCCGCCTCTTGCTTGAAACCGACTCTCCTTACTGCGATGTGCGGCCGACACACGCCGGCCACCGCTTTGTGGGCAGCAAATGGGCAGCAAAGAAGAAAGAGGCCCATTCGGAGGATGCCATGGTGAAGGGCAGAAACGAGCCGTGTGCCATCAGGTGGGCATGCAGCATGGGGTGTGGGTTATGGTAACATGTTCTGTGATGTGCGGAGGACTGACTGGAGCATGCATGGAGTATGAGAAACGCATGCATGGGGCATGTGTTACGCATGCATGGGGCATGTGTTACGCATGCATGGGGCATGTGTTACGCATGCATGGGGCATGTGTTACGCATGCATGGGGCATGTGTTACGCATGCATGGGTCATGTGTTACGCATGCATGGGGCATGTGTTACGCATGCATGGGGCATGTGTTGTTAAGGTAACATGTGCTGTGCTGTCTTTTGAGTCGACTCAGAAGTCACCTTAGTATGAGTTACGCATGCATGGGGCATGTGTTACGCATGCATGGGGCATGTGTTGTTAAGGTAACATGTGCTGTGCTGTCTTTTGAGTCGACTCAGAAGTCACCTTAGTATGAGTTACGCATGCATGGGGCATGTGTTACGCATGCATGGGGCATGTGTTGTTAAGGTAACATGTGCTGTGCTGGAGAGGCGAGTAGATGAGTGGTTGGGTCCTCTCATGCTTTCTCCCGTGCAATGCAGGAAAGTGGAGGATGTGGTTCCTCTCATGCTTTCTTTTGAGTCAACTCAAAAGTCCTCTCATGCTTTCTTTTGAGTCAACTCAAAAGTCCTCTCATGCTTTCTTTTGAGTCAACTCAAAAGTCCTCTCATGCTTTCTTTTGAGCCAACTCAAAAGTCCTCTCATGCTTTTTTTTTTAGTCAACTCAAAAGTCCTCTCATGCTTTCTTTTGAGTCAACTCAAAAGTCCTCTCATGCTTTCTTTTGAGTCAACTCAAAAGTCCTCTCATGCTTTCTTTTGAGTCAACTCAAAAGTCCTCTCATGCTTTCATTTGAGTCAACTCAAAAGTCCTCTCATGCTTTCTCCCGTGCAATGCAGGAAAGTGGAGGATGTGGAAATACTCCCCTGTTTGCATTGCCTGCCACAGCACCTGCTCGTGTGCTGCCATGCAATTAGACCACAGGCCATGCAATTAGACCACAGGCCATGCAATTAGACCACAGGCCATGCAATTAGACCACAGGCCATGCAATTAGACCACAGGCCATGCAATTAGACCACAGGCCATGCAATTAGACCACAGGCCATGCAATTAGACCACAGGCCATGCAATTAGACCACAGGCCATGCAATTAGACCACAGGCCATGCAATTAGACCACAGGCCATGCAATTAGACCACAGGCCATGCAATTAGACCACAGGCCATGCAATTAGACCACAGGCCATGCAATTAGACCACAGGCCATGCAATTAGACCACAGGCCATGCAATTAGACCACAGGCGCCATGCAATTAGACCAGGAGCGAAATGCTGATGTCCTCTCTTCTATTCTCCCTTGTGTCACAGGCAAGTGCTGGAGGTGGTGTGCGGGTACAGGGGAGTGGAGGACATTGAGGAGTTTGCTCGCATCGTCCATGACAACACTTCCAGGTGCCGTCAGATTTCCTCCCCCCTCAACGTTCACCCCCCTGTTCCTGTTTTCCCTTTACCTGCCTCCTCCTTTTTCCTCTCCCCATCCCGCTTTCCCTTCCTCCTCCCTCCGTTTTCCCTTCTTCCCTGTTTCGCTTGCGACCCTCTTCTAAAATTTTCCATTTTGCCCTTTCTTACCCCTTCCTCTCCCACTCTCAGCCCTTGAGGCACTTGTTTTACTGCTCTAATTAATACCGTATATTACACTCTTGACCCACTATTTTCCCCTATGCTGCGATCCTCTGTGTCTTTCTCTGTGCGTGCAGTCTTTTCTTCTCATCTAGAAAACAGTAGGGTAACATCTAGAAAGTCAACAGTTACAACTTCCTGGTGGTGAGCACTTGCAGCTACCAATAAGCAATGTGAATTCGATATAAACCCTATATACCAGTAGTACATGTCATAGTTATGCTGATCAAAACCAAGCAAACGCCTTTCTGTATTGGTATCGCAAAACAACCGTGTACAAAATTTGCTCAAAACCACATTTACAGATCGGATACTTATACGCATCTTCTATTACACTGCCATGCCATGTCACAAGATTTCAACATTGTTACACTGCAACCCCCACATCACATTATGTGGTGTGCATGGTGCCACCATCAATATCAAACATCCCAAACATCAACCGCCGAACCTCCGGCTTCCCATACACGATATATGCCGCCCCATGAACAGCCTGGAACACCGCCCCCGAAACCAAGTTCTGAAACTTTTTATTTGCGTAGAAGTACTGCTTCGACTCCTCAGAAAGCTCCACGTGGTCGTGCAGGCCCGAGGCTCGGAGATACCGGCCGCAGGCTCGGTTCCGAAGAAGCTTGGTATGGCGGTCGGAGAGCCAGAGGATCGGCGCATCGAGGTGTGACTGAAGGAGGTTCTCTGCTAAGACCAGATCCTGGTGGCATAGAAGCACGTTGGATAAAAGCACCACATATTTGAACATAGAAAAGAAGAAAGAAAACTCGAGGCACTGGAGGCAAAGAAATTTTAGAAGACTCGGAGCTGTTCCAGTCACTGAGTTTTGAGGTACTGGAGGCAAAGAAAATCTAGAACGAGCGATAAACCCTTCAGTTCTAAAAATTCAAGATTTCACCGATATTGCCTTGCTGGAGCAAGGTCCACCTTTCAGCTTGAAGCTCAACACCTCATATAATTAACCCCTGAAACTGAAACCCCTCAAGGTATCGTGTCTTGCCAGGCTTCACCAGTTTCTAGGCTCCGCAGACATTTTTTTTCAGCGGCTCAGAAACCCCTCACCAGAGGTGATTTTGTTTTTGCACCTGGTATGTCCTCTCAAGCCTCACCTGGTACGTCCTCTCAAGCCTCACCTGAATCTTCTGCCCCAGGTACTCAAGCCGGTCGTAGCAGAAGCGGGGGTGCTCCGCGCGGTACAGGGAGGGGTGCAGGAAGCACAGCTGGGAGGACGGGGGGGTTTGGGCAGGTTGGTAAGGAGGAGGAAAAAGCATGAGGGGTGGGGGAACGTGAGCCCAAGCCCAACCCCCCACGTGGGGGAACTTGAGCCCAACCCCCCACGTGGGGGAACTTGAGCCCAACCCCCCACGTGGGGGAACGTGAGCCCAACCCCCCACGTGGGGGAACGTGAGCGTCGATAGCAGCAGCAGCACAGGTGCACCGCACGTTACAGCGATGAGCACGCACCAACAGAGCCTCATTACTGTGGCACCTCAAAAATCACATTACAGAGATGAGCACGCACGTTAAAGAGATGAGCACGCACCAACAGAACCTCATCCTACCACTTCCCTCAGCATCTGCTGTAGTGCTTTCTTTCACAGCTCCCCTCACAAGTGATTTTTGAGAATTCTCAAAAATCACTCACAAGAGCTGCAGTAGTGCTTTCTTTCACAGCTCCCCTCACCTGCAGTGCCAACACCATGTCTTCATTCCTTCTCTGCTTCGCCTCCAGGCTCATCCCTGCTTCTGCTGGTCTCGGCCATGCCAGCGCCCTCAGTGCTGCTTCCAGGGATCGGTGTATTCAATGAGAGCCGCGCGGGCGGAACCGCATGGATTTCAAGACCCCTCTCACTCTCATCCCTCACTGACCTGCAGAGCCATCACCATGTCTTCGTTGCGCCTCTGTTTTGCTTCAATACTCATTCCAGCTTCTGCTGGTCTCGGCCACGCCAGCGCCCTCAGTGCTGCTTCCAGGGATCGGTGCATCCAATCAGAACCGCGGAATCGTGACATTCCGGGCGGCACGCACGCGTGGAAGAGACGAGGGTTGGGGAAGAGGGAATTTGGTGGGGACTGGAGGGGAATGTGGGGAGAGAGGGGAGGGTGAGGAGGAGAGAGGGGGAAGGAAGAGAAAGGGAGAAGGTGAGAAGGAGGGGAGGGAGAGAAGGTGAGAATTCAACTACCGAGGGGCCTAAAATATGGAGAGTGACACAAAGGGTAATTAAGCAGCTCAAGAGTCCCAGGAACATGACACCCACTCACCCACCCGCCCGCCCACCCACTCACCCACCCGCCCAGCCACCCACCCACCCACCCGCCCGCCCACTCACTCCCCTCACCCTCCCCCCCCCACACACCTGGTAGCACGCCACGTCGCGCCACGTCAGCGGGTCGCCGTCCAGGTCAGCATGCAGGAAATCCTCGTCACGCACGCGCTCGATCTTGGGGAGCATGTCGGGATGGTCAGGGTCCAGCCCGAACACCTCAAAGAGCAGCCTGTAGACTTCCGGCATGCCCCTTGTGAGGTAAGCCGAGGCAATGAGGGAGGTGAAGACACTCCTGGGGGGGAATAGGGAAGATGGTAGACGGCAGATAGTCACTGGTCACAGGTTGGGAGGAGGAGCTGGTCGGGGTCCAATCCAAACACCTCAAACAGCAGCCGATAGACCTCCGGCATGCCGCGGGTGAGGTATGCTTAAGCCACCAGGGAGGTGAAAACACTCCTGCATGGGTAATATGAGTGGGAATGGGAGTGTCTAGGGATGGTCGGGGTCCAAACCCAACACCTCAAAGAGCAGCCTGTAGACTTCCGGCATGCCCCTTGTGAGGTATGCCGAGGCGATTAGTGATGTGAACACACTCCTACAGGGGGGGAGATGGGGTGAAGTGAATGGTATGGCACGGGCATTCATTGCAGCATGGCGGGATGGTCGGGGTCCAAACCCAACACCTCAAACAGCAGCCTGTAGACTTCCGGCATGCCTCTCGTGAGGTAAGCCGAGGCAATGAGGGAGGTGAAAACACTCCTGCAGGGGGGAACGAGGGTTGGGTGGGTGGGAGAGTGAATGGTAGAGGTGGGAGCAGGAATAATCTTGGGGAGCATGTCGGGATGGTCGGGGCCCAAACCGAACACCTCAAACAGCAGCCGACACACCTCCGGCATGGCACTCCACTCACCATGAACATGCAAGTGAAGCCCCACCGAAAATGCCTTTGAAAAAGGACAGCTCACTCACTTGGCGGCGAGTTGCCTGAGGTTGGTGGGGGCGCGCATGAGCAGGGCTCCTGGAAACACAAGCCGGTCCAACCCGGCCTGCGTGAGAAGCAGAGGGAAGCTAGAGCACACAAATGATAAGCACCAACCAACCATAAACCACTCAAACACAGCAAGTTGACTTACTTGGCCGCCATTTGACGCAGGTTGGTGGGGGCGCGCATGAGCAGGGCTCCTGGAAACACAAGCCGGTCCAACCCGGCCTGCGTAAGCAGCAGCGGGAAGCGGCGCTTGTTGCCCAGCTCCCTGGCTCGTTCCCTAAGTGATGCTACCGGTTCCCTGGGATAGCACTGGTGGGAGAGGAAGAGAGGCGAGGAGCGAGGAAGGATGAGCGGTAAGCGACGCGAGCAGTGAGCAGCAGCGGGAAGCGGCGCTTGTTGCCTAACTTTTGAGGCGCCTCAAAAATCTTGAGCCGCCTCAACAGCAGCGGGAAGCTGCACTTGTTGCCTAACTCCCCGGCTCGTTCCCTTGGTGATGCCATCACGCCTGTTCTCTGGGATAGCACTGGGCGAGGGAGGGGGGTGATAGGGGCACGAGGAGGGAGAGCTGCAGTGAGTGAGCAGCAGCGGGAAGCGGCGCTTGTTTCGTAGCTCTCTCGCCCTCTCCATTAGGGATGCCACCGGTTCCCTGGGATAGCACTGGTGGGAGAGGGAGAGAGCAGCAGTGAGTGAGCACTCAGCGGCAGGGCGCTGAGCGACACCAGGCGGTCCAATCCGGCCTGGGCGAGTAGCAGGGAGAAGCGGCGCTTGTTTCCTAACTCCCTCGCCCTCTCACTTAGGGATGCCACAGAGTCGCGTGGGTAGCACTGGGGCTAAGGGAAACACAGGGAAGTCAACAAAGGCGGAGAGTGGGAGAGTGAGTGAGCAGCAGCAGCAGCGATGCTTCTTTGCCCAACTCCCACGCCCACTTATTTAATGATCCACTGGTTCCACGCTGCTCACTGGTTCTTGCAGGAAAGAAGTTCCCTGGGTGGTGAGTGCGCAGTGAGCAGCAGAGCTCTTCTTGCCCAGTTGTGGAGAGTCGATTTATGAGTCGACTTAAAAATCGCAGTGAGCAGCAGAGCTCCTCTTGCCCAGTTGTGGAGAGTCCATTTTTGAGTCGACTCAAAAATCGCAGTGAGCAGCAGAGCTCCTCTAGCCCAGTTCCCTGGCCCTCCCCTTCATCTCACCTGCAGCAGCATCTCAGCCAGAGCTAGCTCCAAGACGAATCCTCCAAGAAACGCCAGCCGTGACCCCGCCACCTTGAGAAACCGTGACTTGCCCAGCTGGTCCCTGAAGGGTGAGGTGCGGTGGAATGAGGTGTGGTGTGGTGTGATGAGGTGTAGTGTGGGGGAAAAGGGAGGGACAGGCATGGTCAACACGAAGCCCCCCAGAAACGCCAGCCGTGACCCTGCCACCTTGAGAAACCGTGACTTGCCCGGCTGGTCCCTGAAGGGTGTGGTGCGGTGGGGTGCGGTGTGACGGGGTTTGATGGGGTGTGACAGGGTGTGATGGGTGTGGTGTGGGGGAAGAGGGAGGGGCAAACAAGCTCAGCAAGAACCCGCCCAGAAACGCCAGTCATGACCCTGCCTGCCACCTTGAGAAACCGTGACTTGCTGGGTTGATCCCTGGGGGAATAATTATTAGGGGCACAGGAGATGGTGGGAGGGCGGCACAGGGGGTACTGCTTTTGAGTCGACTCAAAAGCGAACCGTGACTTGCCGGGTTGATCCCTGGGGGGAATAATTATTAGGGGCACAGGAGATGGTGGGAGGGCGGCACAGGGGGTACTGCTTTTGAGTCGACTCAAAAGCGAACCGTGACTTGCTGGGTTGATCCCTGGGGGAATAATTATTAGGGGCACAGGAGATGGTGGGAGGGCGGCACAGGGGGTACTGCTTTTGAGTCGACTCAAAAGCGAACCGTGACTTGCCGGGTTGATCCCTGGGGGGAATAATTATTGGGGGCACAGGAGATGGTGGGAGGGCGGCACAGGGGGTACTGCTTTTGAGTCGACTCAAAAGCGAACCGTGACTTGCCGGGTTGATCCCTGGGGGGAATAATTATTAGGGGCACAGGAGATGGTGGGAGGGCGGCACAGGGGGTACTGCTTTTGAGTCGACTCAAAAGCGAACCGTGACTTGCCGGGTTGATCCCTGGGGGGAATAATTATTAGGGGCACAGGAGATGGTGGGAGGGCGGCACAGGGGGTACTGCTTTTGAGTCGACTCAAAAGCGAACCGTGACTTGCCGGGTTGATCCCTGGGGGGAATAATTATTAGGAGCACAGGAGATGGTGGGAGGGCGGCACAGGGGGTACTGCTTTTGAGTCGACTCAAAAGCGAACCGTGACTTGCCGGGTTGATCCCTGGGGGGAATAATTATTAGGGGCACAGGAGATGGTGGGAGGGCGGCACAGGGGGTACTGCTTTTGAGTCGACTCAAAAGCGAACCGTGACTTGCCGGGTTGATCCCTGGGGGGAATAATTATTAGGGGCACAGGAGATGGTGGGAGGGCGGCACAGGGGGTACTGCTTTTGAGTCGACTCAAAAGCGAACCGTGACTTGCCGGGTTGATCCCTGGGGGGAATAATTATTAGGGGCACAGGAGATGGTGGGAGGGCGGCACAGGGGGTACTGCTTTTGAGTCGACTCAAAAGCGAACCGTGACTTGCCGGGTTGATCCCTGGGGGGAATAATTATTAGGGGCACAGGAGATGGTGGGAGGGCGGCACAGGGGGTACTGCTTTTGAGTCGACTCAAAAGCGAACCGTGACTTGCCGGGTTGATCCCTGGGGGGAATAATTATTAGGGGCACAGGAGATGGTGGGAGGGCGGCACAGGGGGTACTGCTTTTGAGTCGACTCAAAAGCGAACCGTGACTTGCCGGGTTGATCCCTGGGGGGAATAATTATTAGGGGCACAGGAGATGGTGGGAGGGCGGCACAGGGGGTACTGCTTTTGAGTCGACTCAAAAGCGAACCGTGACTTGCCGGGTTGATCCCTGGGGGGAATAATTATTAGGGGCACATGAGATGGTGGGAGGGCGGCACAGGGGGTACTGCTTTTGAGTCGACTCAAAAGCGAACCGTGACTTGCCGGGTTGATCCCTGGGGGGAATAATTATTAGGGGCACAGGAGATGGTGGGAGGGCGGCACAGGGGGTACTGCTTTTGAGTCGACTCAAAAGCGAACCGTGACTTGCCGGGTTGATCCCTGGGGGGAATAATTATTAGGGGCACAGGAGATGGTGGGAGGGCGGCACAGGGGGTACTGCTTTTGAGTCGACTCAAAAGCGAACCGTGACTTGCCGGGTTGATCCCTGGGGGGAATAATTATTAGGGGCACAGGAGATGGTGGGAGGGCGGCACAGGGGGTACTGCTTTTGAGTCGACTCAAAAGCGAACCGTGACTTGCCGGGTTGATCCCTGGGGGGAATAATTATTAGGGGCACAGGAGATGGTGGGAGGGCGGCACAGGGGGTACTGCTTTTGAGTCGACTCAAAAGCGAACCGTGACTTGCCGGGTTGATCCCTGGGGGGAATAATTATTAGGGGCACAGGAGATGGTGGGAGGGCGGCACAGGGGGTACTGCTTTTGAGTCGACTCAAAAGCGAACCGTGACTTGCCGGGTTGATCCCTGGGGGGAATAATTATTAGGGGCACAGGAGATGGTGGGAGGGCGGCACAGGGGGTACTGCTTTTGAGTCGACTCAAAAGCGAACCGTGACTTGCCGGGTTGATCCCTGGGGGGAATAATTATTAGGGGCACAGGAGATGGTGGGAGGGCGGCACAGGGGGTACTGCTTTTGAGTCGACTCAAAAGCGAACCGTGACTTGCCGGGTTGATCCCTGGGGGGAATAATTATTGGGGGCACAGGAGATGGTGGGAGGGCGGCACAGGGGGTACTGCTTTTGAGTCGACTCAAAAGCGAACCGTGACTTGCCGGGTTGATCCCTGGGGGGAATAATTATTAGGGGCACAGGAGATGGTGGGAGGGCGGCACAGGGGGTACTGCTTTTGAGTCGACTCAAAAGCGAACCGTGACTTGCCGGGTTGATCCCTGGGGGGAATAATTATTAGGGGCACAGGAGATGGTGGGAGGGCGGCACAGGGGGTACTGCTTTTGAGTCGACTCAAAAGCGAACCGTGACTTGCCGGGTTGATCCCTGGGGGGAATAATTATTAGGGGCACAGGAGATGGTGGGAGGGCGGCACAGGGGGTACTGCTTTTGAGTCGACTCAAAAGCGAACCGTGACTTGCCGGGTTGATCCCTGGGGGGAATAATTATTAGGGGCACAGGAGATGGTGGGAGGGCGGCACAGGGGGTACTGCTTTTGAGTCGACTCAAAAGCGAACCGTGACTTGCCGGGTTGATCCCTGGGGGGAATAATTATTGGGGGCACAGGAGATGGTGGGAGGGCGGCACAGGGGGTACTGCTTTTGAGTCGACTCAAAAGCGAACCGTGACTTGCCGGGTTGATCCCTGGGGGGAATAATTATTAGGGGCACAGGAGATGGTGGGAGGGCGGCACAGGGGGTACTGCTTTTGAGTCGACTCAAAAGCGAACCGTGACTTGCCGGGTTGATCCCTGGGGGGAATAATTATTAGGGGCACAGGAGATGGTGGGAGGGCGGCACAGGGGGTACTGCTTTTGAGTCGACTCAAAAGCGAACCGTGACTTGCCGGGTTGATCCCTGGGGGGAATAATTATTAGGGGCACAGGAGATGGTGGGAGGGCGGCACAGGGGGTACTGCTTTTGCGTCGACTCAAAAGCGAACCGTGACTTGCCGGGTTGATCCCTGGGGGGAATAATTATTAGGGGCACAGGAGATGGTGGGAGGGCGGCACAGGGGGTACTGCTTTTGAGTCGACTCAAAAGCGAACCGTGACTTGCCGGGTTGATCCCTGGGGGGAATAATTATTAGGGGCACAGGAGATGGTGGGAGGGCGGCACAGGGGGTACTGCTTTTGAGTCGACTCAAAAGCGAACCGTGACTTGCCGGGTTGATCCCTGGGGGGAATAATTATTAGGGGCACAGGAGATGGTGGGAGGGCGGCACAGGGGGTACTGCTTTTGAGTCGACTCAAAAGCGAACCGTGACTTGCCGGGTTGATCCCTGGGGGGAATAATTATTAGGGGCACAGGAGATGGTGGGAGGGCGGCACAGGGGGTACTGCTTTTGAGTCGACTCAAAAGCGAACCGTGACTTGCCGGGTTGATCCCTGGGGGGAATAATTATTAGGGGCACAGGAGATGGTGGGAGGGCGGCACAGGGGGTACTGCTTTTGAGTCGACTCAAAAGCGAACCGTGACTTGCCGGGTTGATCCCTGGGGGGAATAATTATTAGGGGCACAGGAGATGGTGGGAGGGCGGCACAGGGGGTACTGCTTTTGAGTCGACTCAAAAGCGAACCGTGACTTGCCGGGTTGATCCCTGGGGGGAATAATTATTAGGGGCACAGGAGATGGTGGGAGGGCGGCACAGGGGGTACTGCTTTTGAGTCGACTCAAAAGCGAACCGTGACTTGCCGGGTTGATCCCTGGGGGGAATAATTATTAGGGGCACAGGAGATGGTGGGAGGGCGGCACAGGGGGTACTGCTTTTGAGTCGACTCAAAAGCGAACCGTGACTTGCCGGGTTGATCCCTGGGGGGAATAATTATTAGGGGCACAGGAGATGGTGGGAGGGCGGCACAGGGGGTACTGCTTTTGAGTCGACTCAAAAGCGAACCGTGACTTGCCGGGTTGATCCCTGGGGGGAATAATTATTAGGGGCACAGGAGATGGTGGGAGGGCGGCACAGGGGGTACTGCTTTTGAGTCGACTCAAAAGCGAACCGTGACTTGCCGGGTTGATCCCTGGGGGGGAATAATTATTAGGGGCACAGGAGATGGTGGGAGGGCGGCACAGGGGGTACTGCTTTTGAGTCGACTCAAAAGCGAACCGTGACTTGCCGGGTTGATCCCTGGGGGGAATAATTATTAGGGGCACAGGAGATGGTGGGAGGGCGGCACAGGGGGTACTGCTTTTGAGTCGACTCAAAAGCGAACCGTGACTTGCCGGGTTGATCCCTGGGGGGAATAATTATTAGGAGCACAGGAGATGGTGGGAGGGCGGCACAGGGGGTACTGCTTTTGAGTCGACTCAAAAGCGAACCGTGACTTGCCGGGTTGATCCCTGGGGGGAATAATTATTAGGGGCACAGGAGATGGTGGGAGGGCGGCACAGGGGGTACTGCTTTTGAGTCGACTCAAAAGCGAACCGTGACTTGCCGGGTTGATCCCTGGGGGGAATAATTATTAGGGGCACAGGAGATGGTGGGAGGGCGGCACAGGGGGTACTGCTTTTGAGTCGACTCAAAAGCGAACCGTGACTTGCCGGGTTGATCCCTGGGGGGAATAATTATTAGGGGCACAGGAGATGGTGGGAGGGCGGCACAGGGGGTACTGCTTTTGAGTCGACTCAAAAGCGAACCGTGACTTGCCGGGTTGATCCCTGGGGGGAATAATTATTAGGGGCACAGGAGATGGTGGGAGGGCGGCACAGGGGGTACTGCTTTTGAGTCGACTCAAAA